CATCCAAGGGAGCCTCAGACCCCTTCCCTAGATGGGGAGCTCTGTGAAGGCAGGGACTAGAGCTTGGGATGAGTGGCTGTCTCTGGAGTGAACAGCACTTGGCAGACAATATGCGCTCAATAAAAATCTGCTGAATGAACTAACCAGTCATGATTTTCAGTGTAACATGATGAAGCTTGTCTAAGTCACAGGTGCTTTTTAACTAGCTAAAAATTTGAAAGTCTGAGTCCAAACCACACAGGCAGATATGCTTTGAGCAGGTCTACAGTGTGGGGCTGCTGTATTCAGCTTCTAGGGAACCTAGACGCCCCTCTGATGCTATCAGTTATTGGGTTTTTCTTCTCTGAGAAGCCCTGCCCTCCAGCCAGATGAGAGCTGTACAGATGTGGCTGTCCTACTGCCTCAAAAAAAACGTGTGGAAGTCACACACACCTGGTTCAGGCCCCTTCATATCCAAATCTGGAGAAAGTGTGGCTTACTAGGGTCACACAGTCAATAAAAGTTAGAGCAAAGACAAGGACCTAGGTCTACCAGATATCCAGATAGAGTTTATCTCCTCTACTCTAGAATTGCTTTTCTAAGAGGCTTATCACTCACTCTCCTTTAAATAACCTTCAGGACACCTGATGGGGAATTTTTTTTTTCCCTATAGGATCCAGAAAGGCAGGATTTTTAGAGCAAGGGGAAAAATACATATATAAAGATAATTTTTTCTAAGTCATTTTATTGCAAAAGCATGGACTGCCTCTCATTAAGAAATACATTTGCCCTTCCAAAGTTGGTGTAACATCTATTGAGTGCCTACTTCGTACTGGGTCCTCTGCCAGGTGGGGGATCTTAACAATTTCCTAAATTAGATAATGTGTTAAATTACGGTGAAGATAGAGCTTTTTAACAAAATTCTGCCCTCAACCATTCCATCAAACAAGTATCATACGTCCTCAGATCTAAGATGCTGCCAATTATGGAATGCACCATCATTTTATGTAATCCTGAGAAAGAAAAAATGCTGTCAGTTTCTCTGATATCAACTGATTAAAAGACATAGCCTGGCCGGGCGCGGTGGCTCACGCCTGTAATCCCAGCACTTTGGGATGCTGAGACGGGCGGATCACAGGGTCAGGAGATCGAGACCATCCTGACTAACATGGTGAAACCCCCATCTCTACTAAAAATACAAAAAATTAGCTGGGCATGGTGGTGGGCGCCTGTAGTCCCAGCTACTCGGGAGGCTGAGGCAGGAGAATGGCATGAACCCAGGAGGCGGAGCTTTCAGTGAGCCGAGATCGTGCCACTGCACTCCAGCCTGGGCAACAGACTGAGACTCCATCTCAAAAAAAAAAAAAAGACACACCCTAATTTCAAAGATGTTGATTTCTAACTGTATCTTAGATTCAATGGAATATTCTAAGCTATTTCTACTCTAAGTGACCATCTTTTAAAATCTAACTGCAAAGTTCAGGTTGGTTTTTAACTGTGACACACCTCTAAACAGGCCTTCATTTTTTAACAGAATTATGCTTGCACATCACCTAATGGTGACCTGTCCCCGTAGAATCCTCTGTCTTAGAAATATGTTCTCATGTCCAGAGGTCTTCAAAGCCACAATTCCCACATGTAGAATCAACTACCAGGTTCAGAATCTGCCTATGGGTTTCCCCAAAACCCAGCAAAAGCAGAATCACTCTGCACTCACCCATCCAGCCTTTATTCTACCACTGTTAGGGCTTTTGCTGAATGTCAAGGGAAAAGATCACACACTGAAAGACCCCACTCTGGGCTGTGGCCGCTCCCTTGGGAGATGAAGTACGGTAGCTCCAGAGGGGCATCTGGAGCTGTTCACCTCTGCCTCTTGTGCTTCAGAAGTCGCAGCCCCTACAGCATTATGGGGAAGAGAAAAAGTGCATATGCTGTGCCCAGGTGGAACAGCGACCTGCAAAACCATGCCATAGCTGAGGACATGTCCCAATCATTCATCCAATCATTCGTCCTAAATCACATTCTTTTTCTTGCTGTGGCTATACCACTACAGTTAAACTGTGAATGGGACTGATGAAGGGGGGAACCATGTCATTCTTAGCCAAGGAGCCCCCATGACCTAGGCAGACATAGTGAGGTGCACACAAGGGCCTGTTCACCAGTCAATCGAAAAGTCAAGAGTTCTGCACTAAAGCACCCCCTTCCATCCAAAGAGAGGCACAGAATGAAGTCCTCAAGGCCTTTCTCACGTGTCTCGCCTTGACCTGCTGAGATCACCAGGGAATCACGGCAGCTTTGCAGCACGGCCTCCCTGCTGCCCTGCCCGCGGAGTTGCTCCCTTCTTCTCCCACTGGTCTTTCTCTCTGTTCTGGTGTGGCTTCCTTGGAAAAGGGGAGATTTATTGAAAGAGAATACCCCGCTGGGCATGGTGGCTCATGCCTAATCCCAGCACTTTAAGAGGCTGAGGCGGGCAGATCACTTGAAGTTAGAAGATCAAGACCAGCCTGGCCAATATCATGAAACCCCATCTCTACTAAAAATATAGAAATTAGGCTGAGTATGGTGGCTCATGCCTGTAATCCTAACACTTTGGGAGGCCGAGGCGGGTGGATCACGAGGTCAGGAGTTTGAGACCAGCCTGGTCAACATGGTGAAACCCCATCTCTACTAAAAATAAAAATTAGCCAGGCGTGGTGATGGGCGCCTGTAATCCCAGCTACTGGGGAGGCTGAGGTAGGAGAATCGCTTGAACCCAGGAAAAGGAGGTTGCAGTGAGCTGAGATCATGCCATTGCACTCCAGCATGGGTGACAGAGAAGACTCCATCTCAAAAAAAAAAAAAAAAAAGTCTTAGTTGGGTATGATGGCACATAGCTGAGCTACTCGAGAGGCTGAGGTGGGAGAACTGCTTGAAACTCAGTGGTGGAGGTTGCAGTGAGCCAAGATTGCACCACTGCACTCCAGCCTCGGGGACAGAGAAAGAAAGAAAGAAGGAGGGAGAGAGAGAGAGAGAGAGAGAGAGAAATACCCAAGACAGACCACACACTCAGGCCTTGGATGGTGAGGGGCTGAGGCAGCTGCTCTCTTGCCTTCTGCTGCTCATGGTTGAATCTGTTCAGATTGTTTCCTGTTGTTAATTGCAGCCCCATTCTGTGTCTCAGTCCAAACCGCGAGAGCAACATGTCATTGCCTGGGCCTTCCAGTCAGGCAGGCCACACAGGTCAAAGGTGGCTGGCTAGCCTGGGGATGACCACCCCCTTCTTGGACACAGTTGGGCCACAGGAGGGGCAGGAATTCCTTTGAGAGGAGACCTGGGGGCGTGGGGTCAGGGCAGGTAAGGTAAATGATACCTAGTAGTTGCCTTGTTGCTTTTCCCGTCTTCCCCAACTTTTCAGAAAAATGATGGCCTTTATAGAGACATCAAGATGATGGTAGCTAATATTCTATTGAGTGTGTGCTGTGTGCCAGGCACTGTGCTGTGCTCAGCACGTGTTACAGGCATTAACTGTGTTCCCACTTTGGCTCAGAGAGGATTTGGTCACTTGCCAGGGTCCCATATCTAGCTAACGGTGCCAAGCTTCTACTCCTTCACCTTAGGTAAAGTGTATGTGGCAGAATTCCCGAGTCCCAGAGGACTGCTCCCTTGGGAGCGGGGAAGACCAAGAGTACAGCCAGTCAGGCTGGTGAGCAGCTGCCAGGCGGCAGGAAGTGGCTTAAACTAAGGGTCGAAGCAAGGCAGAGAGAAGGGAAAATGTGAGCATTTCAGGACGGAACGGAAACAAACACCAACATTTCAGGAATGAGAAGCCAGAAGAGAGGGAAGGTTTGGCCAAAGGACTGGAAAGGGGCAAGAAAATGAAGTATGAACCAGGAAGCTATAGGCAATCAGTAGAAGTCCACAGCTAATTTGCATAATAAAAGGAAAAGTCATCTTGCTGGAATTTGTGGTGGTGGCTGCCTAGATTTGAAATCGTACCCTATAATTTGCCCCATTTCCAGTGAGAACCAGCGTAAAACATTTCTAGAACAAACAGTATATTGCACAAAGATAGATTTACAACAAAAACTAGTTTTTCTAAGACTTGAAGCTTTCTGTCTTTTGTCACAGGGGGACCCAGGAAGCCCAATGATGTGCCAGCTACAGCAGTTCGATCTGTGGGTTCTGAGAGGAGTGCTGAACTTCGGTGGTGAGACGTGCCCTGGCCTGTTTCTGTACACCAAGGTGGAAGACTACAGCAAATGGATCACATCCAAGGCTGAGAGGGCCGGCCCTCCCCTGTCCTCACTCCACCACTGGGAAAAGTTGATTTCTTTCTCCCGCCACGGACCAAATGCCGCCATGACACAGAATTCTGATTCTGAACTGGGCCATGTTGGATCATACTTGCAGGGACAAGGAAGGACCATCACGCATTCACGACTAGCAACCAGCTCTAGAGATGATCTAGATGTTAGGGAGAAGGGTGTAAAGGAATCAGGCCGGTCTCCTGAGGCATCTGTACAACCCTTATACTATGACTATTATGGTGGGGAGGTGGGGGAAGGTAGGATTTCTGCAGGTCAGAAAAGGTTGCATCAGCCCGCAGAAATCATCTTGGTTTCCTTCATGCTCGTTTTCTTTTGCAGCAGTATCTAGTCCAGGAGCCACCCCACCAAACTGAAGAGTAAGCTCAGAATGCTGAGTGCCAGGCATTCACCATGCTGTTTTGGTGTCTGTTTTTAATAGTCGCACACCAGGGCTGCCATGGATAAGCCCACAGCACACACTGGGCTGGCTCTCCCTCCTCTGTCCCTCTCCCGGGTGTGGGAAGGTCACTTTTATTATGCTTGTGAACTAAATGCTGGCTAACAAGTGTCAAACCATTAGAGCGCCCTGTGGTTCTTTCAGTGGCAACAGTTCCAGGGGCCAGGCTGTGAAAACACTCCCCATGGGCAGATGTAGCCCAGGAGGTGATGCTCAGCCTGGCTGGGGGGTTGGGAACACCAGGCAGACAGGGAACAGTGAGAGGAGCCGGTGACTAGAAAGGAGCTGATTACTTTAATAGGTCATGTTGCGGTCTGTAAGCCGTGGCCTGCCTCTGGCTAATTCCCAGCAAGGTTATCTGCCTGCAACTGCTCATTGGTTATTTTCATTCTATTCCAAGTCTTACGGTAGCCTTTTAAGGACATCTGAAAGAAAAAAGAAAAGAAAAGAAAAAGAAAACTATAAAGGAGAGTGGGGAGAAGGTCACTTGAGGAAAACTGTGGTTACTTAGAATGCAGCCCTCATCCAGCCCCGTGATGGTGCAGGCAACCCTGTGTGGGGCAGCGTGTCCCCCATGCATGCTGCTGTGTGGGGGCCACCAAGGGGTAGCACCCACCCAGAGGATTTTTCTATAGAGCATGTTTCTTCTGCTCAGTGAAGTGAGAAGTTGCATGCTCCTGCCACGATTCTGCTACTTCTCAGTTTCAGATCTAAGGGGCCCAAGTTTGGATCCTAATTTACTCTCTGCTGCAAAATGGCCAAAGGAGAGGCAGGAGAAAGTAACATAGGAAATGGGAGCCAGGGTCTAGATGTGAAAACGCCAAGGTCCCAGTTTTCCAAGTGACCTGACTGGCTTTCTAAGCTACTCTGATGATGTCCTGCATGACCTCAGTTTGCAACGTGGCCATGGCAGTCTGGGTGCTTGTCTTTCTTCTGACGCCAGCATATGGTTTCCATTGCCTATTTATCCCCCGCAGCTCACAGGAGCAAGGGCGCTTCCTGTCACACTACCATATTCAAAGTCTGCGGGATTCGTTTAAAAGCAGAAAGACCCATGGCGACTGTGTACACGCATGGAATGAGGTCCTGAGTGATATTAAAAAATCTATCAGTATCTCATTTTTTAAAAAACTGACTTCTCCATGTATAAAGTAGCAATCACTAAATTACCAGTGCAGAGGGATTCAGAAACTTCTAGAATTCATTAAGAAAACAGGCAACTAAAAACACACTATTACTACAGAGTTTCTCCCTGAAAATGGAAAAGACCCTGCCCCTAACAATGCAAAAGGGGGAACTTAAAAAAAAAATCATCCTTCATCTTGGTTTAATAGTTAAAGCAACTGCTGAGGTTTCTCCCAGAAATTACATATCCAAATATCTGTATTCTTAGCCCAAAGAACAAAATCCTAAATGAAAACATTGAAGACATAAAAGACTGCCCATCTCGGGGCTTCCCGTGGCTCACCTCTGCTATCTCCACTTTCCTTTCCCACATCTTGATGCTCTTCTCCAAGTCCCCATTTAAGATCTTCTCCCGGACGTAAGTCATCACCTGTGGCGCCCGGAACTCAGCCAGCTGCTTCCGGAGCCTCTTGTTCACTGCCTCGGCTTTGGCCCGGTCCTGGGTTGGGAAGGACCAGTTACACCCAGGGAACCCCAGAAGCTCTTGCTTTGAGAACTCACTGGCCCTGACATCTCTTCCCATGGTTCTAATAGAGTTCCAAAAATAATGTTTACATTTTCAAAGAGGTTGGGGAGGGGGTGGGAATCACAAAACTCTGATTTTTTTGCAAAACATATTTTAAGCCAGTTCAGAAACACCTAGTGCGGTCTAAATAGTCTTGTTTCTTTCATTCCTTTCCCTTTTCTTTTCCTTTCCTGTCCTTTGTCTCTCTTCCCCTTTCCTTTCCTTCCCTCCTTCCTCTTCCTCTCCTTTATTAAGGAATGTGTTGTACTTACTTTGACTTCTTAGGGTTTTTCTGTGTGTGAAAAATTGTGTATTTAAGTGTACTTCGATCAGACTCAATTCACTTCCATGTCTTTTTAAATTATAAGGTATATATATAAAACATAAAATTTATCATCTTAACCATTTTTAACTATACAGTTCTGTGGCGTTAAGTACATTCACATTCTTGTGCAACCATCACCACCATCCATCTCCAGAACTCTTTTTGTCTTGTACAACTGAAATTCTGTACCCGTTATACAATCACTCCTCCTTCCCTCGTCTCCCAGCCCCTGGCCCCCACCATTCCACTTTCTGTCTCTGTGAATTTGACTTCTCTGGGTACCTCATATAAGTAGAATCATACAGTATTTGTCCTTTTGTGACTGGCTTATTTCACTTAGCATAATGTCCTTAAGTTTCCTACACATGGTAGTATGCGTCAAAACATCCTTCCTTTCTAAGGTGGAATGATTTTCTGTTGTATGGATATACCACATTTTATTTATTTTGTTTATCCATCCATCGATAAGACACTTGAGTTGCTTCCACTTCTTGGCTATTGTGAAGAATGGTGCTGTCAACATGGGTGTATAAAACTCTGTTCAATTCCCTTCTCAATTCTTTTGGGTACATTCCCAGATGCAGAATGGCTAGAACCTATGGTAATTCAATTTTGTGAGTAATCCTTGTCTTTTAAATATTTATTTTAAAAATTATCATACTGTAAAATTCATTAGCCCTTTTAATAAAATGCATTTTTAAAAATTTAACATCAGCTGGGGACAGTGGCTCACCCCTGTAATCCCAGCACTTTGGAAGGCTAAAGCGGGCGGATCACTTGAGATCAGGAGTTTGAGACTAGCCTGGCCAACAGGGTGAAACCCCATCTCCACTAAAAATACAAAACTGAGTTAAGCATGGCGGCTTAGGCCTGTAATCCCAGCTATTTAGGAGGCTGAGGCAGGAGAATCGCTTGAACCCAGGAGGCGGAGGTTGCAGTGAGCCGAGATCATGACGCTGCACTCCAGCCTGAGCAATAGAGCAAAACTGTCTCCCCCCAAAAAATTAACATTATCCTTTTAACTTTTATTTTACTAATTCTTTTGTTTAGGCTATACATTCAGTTCAAATGGTACACTGTGACGAGCTCCCATCCCACTCCTGTCTCCCCATCAGGAGGGTCTCCTGCCTAGAAGCATACACTGTTTTTAGGTTTTGTGCATCCTTCCAGAAATCTAGGCTTATACAAACATGTTTCCCTTTTTTGACCTAAATAGTAGCATACTCTATTCACTTTTATTCATCCAGATGTTTTCATTCAATAAATCTTGAAGATCTTTCTGTATCAGCACATGAAGAATTTACTCATTCTTTTTGACAGCTACATAATTTTCCACATGGATGTACCATAATTTAACAATTATCCCACAGTCACTTAACTGTTTAATCTCTTGCTATTACAATAAACAATGCTGCAATTACTAACCATCTGGGTATACATCACATTGTCATTATGCAAGAGAATCAGTAGGATAAACTACTAAAAGTGAAATTGCTTGTTCTAGGGCAGTGGTTCTCAACCAGAGGTAATTTTGCCCCCAGGGGACATTTGGCAATGCCTAAAGACATTTTTGTGGGAATTAGAGGGGTGCTGCTGGCATCTAGTAGGTAGAGGCCAGCGATCCTACTAAAAACCCTACAACATACAAGACCTCCCCCTGCCCTGCCACCACAAGAAAGAATTATCCAGCCCCAAATGTCAATAATAATGTGTTTAGGGTGAAAAACCCTGCCTTAAGCACATGTGCACGTTAATGTTTGGTAAACAGTGCTAAATTCCCCTTTATAATAATCAAGACAATTACACTTCCGCAGTAATGTTTGAGACTGCCGGTTTTCCCTCATTCTCTCACTACAGTTTTATCAACTCTTTGATCTTTGTCAATCTAAGAGAAGGAAAATAATATCCCATCATAGCTTTATTTTGTATTCTTTGTATTATGAGTGAGGTAGAACATTTTTCACGTTTTAGTATTTTAGCTTTTCAGTAAACTCTTGAAAACTTTTGCCCATTTTTTCTATTAGTTATTAGTTTTTTCTTGTTGATCTGTAGAAGTTATTTGTTTGGAGTTATTAGCTCCTTGTGATTTTAGATACAACATTTTTCCAGTTATTTACCTTTTGACTTTGCTTATGATCATTTTTGCTATGCGAAAAACTTACATTTTTATATAACTCACTTTACTGATGTCATAGTTTCTAGGTTTTATATTTTGAAAGGCCTCTTCATTCCAAGATTAAAAATTTTCCCAGTATTTATTTTAGGATTTTAATGGTTTTCTTACTTACATTTAAATATCTGATATACCTGAATTAACTTCAGTATAAAACATAGTTCCAACTTAATTTTTTCCTTAATGGTTGCCCAGTTACCCGTTACCCCATGTCATTTATTCAATAATCTGGCTGTCTGTTGATTAATGCCATGCCACTTTTATCATAAAGGTATCAACATCAAAGTTTTATCAAATATTTATATACTTATATGATCTGTATCAGGGTTCATTATAGGACCTTATACATTTTTCTTTGATCTTCCAGCCTATTCCTGAGCTTGTTTTAAATATTGTAACTTTATAACATATTTCATTATCTGATAGGGCTAGTCCTCTCATTTATTCATTTGGAATTTGGGGATACTCTTTTTCCCCCACCAAAGGAATTTTTGAGTCAGTTGATTTAGATTCTTAACAACAAACAAACAAAAAAACCTTCTTTGGTATTTTAATTGGAATATCATATTTCACAGATCAACTTAAAGAGAACTAACATTTTTATTATGTTGAATCTTCCCAATATAGTATTGTCTTTTAATTCCTTGCTTCACAAAGCACAATCTGTGGCACTAGAAACACCTGGGAGCTGCAGACTCCCAGGCTACCCTGGACCTACCCACTCAGAATCTGTGTTTTAATGAGATCCCCAGGTAATTGGTTTGCACCTTTCACTGTTTCAATATACTATAAAACAAGCCACTAATTTAATTTTTATTAACTTGTTTTCAGAATGCAATAATAAATTGTCAGGTGTTCAGTGAATAGCTCCTGTCTGTTTAGCATAAACAAACAACTGTGGAGAGACCCAAAGATGTGGGCAGAACCATCAATGCATACTCCTATCCAGATGGTGATTTGAGAATACCTAAGATAAATATTATGAAGTAGCAAGAACGAAGGCATTAAAACATAAGTACTATAGCTGTGAGGGACACGCTGAGAAGACCAGAGATTATGATCCCCACCCAGCAATCCACAGCAATGTCACTATGGGAAAAGTTGTCCACTGTCCCACCCCAGTGCCAGGGCAGCAGTGCAGAAGTTTTGCCCAGGGAGAGAGGCTGTGTATTTGTTTGTTTTCACACTGCTGTAAAGAACTACCCGAGACTGGATAATTTTATAAAGAAAAGAAGATTTGATTGACTCACAGTTCTGCATGGCTAGGGAGGCCTCAGGAAACTCACAATCATGGTGGAAAGTGAAGGGGAAGTAAAGCACATTTTCACAAGGTAGCAGGAGAGAGAGCACGTGCAGGGGAAACTGCCACTTTAAAAACCATCAGATCTCGTGAGAACTCCCTCACTATCATGAGAACAGCATTAGGTAAACTGCCCCCATGATCCAATCACCTTCCACCAGGTGTCTCCTTTGACACATTGGAATTACAATTTGAGATGAGACTTGCGTGGGGGCACAGAGCCAAACCAAATCAGGCTGTAAATCAGAGGGCCATGGAATGTTGCCCAAGGGGACTTGCTTTATTTGGAACAGAGATGGGGAGCTCATGCCTAAGAACTGTGTGGGAAACAATGGAGTTTTTTAAGGTAAGCAATTTAGAGGAGGCTGGTAGTTCCACAATGTTAGTAGCAGCAAGTAAAATAATAAGCCAGCTATATGTTTAACAGAACAGAGAAAGAGACCACTAAGAAGAGCCCTTTGAGAGTTGGGGGAAGCCTCAAAGACTGGCAACACTTTGCCTCTGCAAAGGGGCCTGACTTTAATTGAATCAGAATGTAAAACAATTAATGTCTCAGGGTACTGTTGAAAGCAATAGAGCAATTAGCTAACAATTAATGAAGGCTGATGGCCAGGTGTGATGCCAATAGAGGTAGACCAGCTGTAAGCTTAGTAGGAAGATGCAGAGTCAAAGAGAACTCAGCAGAAGCAACAATTATCCCTGGTCATCAGGGCAATTGTATACATGACCAAGGCTGCACCAGGTGAGAAGAAATATTAGAGAGTACTAACAGCAGGGGGCCGGGCGCGGTGGCTTACGCCTGTAATCCCAGCACTTTGGGAAGCCAAGGCGGGTAGATCACGAGGTCAGGAGATTGAGACCATCCTGGCTAATATGGTGAAACCCCGTCTCTACTAAATGTACAAAAAATTAGCCTGGCGTGTTGGCGGGTGCCTATAGTCCCAGCTACTCAGGAGGCTGAGGCAGGAGAATGGCGTGAACTCGGGAGGCGGAGCTTGCAATGAGCCGAGATTGCACCACTGCACTCCAGCCTGGGTGACAGAGCGAGACTCCATGTCAAAAAAAAAAAAAAAAAAAAAAAAGAGTACTAACAGCAGGGGAATAGACTTTACTGATCTAGTCCAGCCAAGTCACTC